GACCAATGAAGGATGTCAAGGGGTAGCTCGTTGATTATTATAGATCAATGGATCGTGTGTGGTTAACCGGCACATTGATTAGGTGATATGCATCTTCGAGAGTACTAAGCTAATTTGCATGGTTATCCATAACTTGTTTGTGATCCTCGACATCCCAGTCACAAACTCGAAGGTCACACTTGATATTTAAACATTCCATTGAAAACTTTAATGAATCTCAAAAGACCTAGGAGTTTCAATTGATTTAAAACATAATTTTCAATTTTTGTTATTCAAGGTGGAATTGGTAAATCGTCATTTACCTACATTTAAATGTTCTGCAATTTGGATTACAACATCCCTCTTCTAAATTGTAGAATATTGTGTCGAGTCCTAGCCTTGATATTTCATTTGGGTGTTATATCAAGGATTCCAATCAACTACCTTGAGTTTCTCCATTTTTGTAGATGTCAAAGTCAAACAACTATGATCTTCCTGAATCCGGTGGAAAAAGTTTTTCTCATGAAGATGATGTTCGACGATTGTATTGTGGAAATGTAAATCATTATTCACTTCCTCCACCTCCTCCAATAATTCTCCCTGACCCACGTGTTCGAAGACTTGAAAAGTTCAAGGTCACTCAAGCCCTATTGGCTAAAAGACACAAAGATGGAAAGTCTGAATGTGCTCATGTCTTGGATATGAAGTTATATATTGATAGATTGGGAATGTTGGGTGTCGATGTCTCAAGGAAGATGGTTGATGCCTTGGTTCTTCAGTCACTTCCCGAATCATATAGTAAGTTCAATAGAGAGTATTATATGATGGACGATGACATGATCCTTATTGATTTGACTTATTTGCTTATTGCTGCTGAATCAGTGATGATTTGGTGCATTGGTCAAGCAAATTTGTCTCGTAAATCAATGTACCATCCTTCTATGGGAAATGGAAACATTGGAAGTCCAGAAAATTTTTCTCTATGCAAGAGAAAAGCTGAGTCTAAGATAGTCCCGTGTACCATTCCAGAAGAATCCATATGTTTCTACTGCCAAAAGAGGGGGTATTGGTTATACAGCTGCCCTGACTACCTGAGAGATCTAAGAGATGGGAAATTCAAGATGTATGACTCTGCTTCAGGTAAAATCCACTATCTAACTCTAGAAATTTTTCTATTTTTTTATTCTTAATACATGATGTGATAAGATTACATTTTGATGTTTTGTAGGATCGAAGTAAAGAGAGGAAGCTTAAAGCAAGAAGTGAGTTGAGTCTGATCGCGAATAAATGGATTTCAATCGCAGGATTCGATGATTGGATTTAAGTTGCTGCTTAGAGTTATTATAGATTGCTTAGGTATATGTAATAGCATAGTTTTCATTTGAATTTGCATTGTAAGGGCAACTTTTCCGCACCTTTTTATAAATAAAATTGTTTTTTAGTTTTGTCTTATTTATATATCCTTGCAATGTTATTTATAAAATTGATGCTTGTGTATTTATATTATAAGCAATATTAAGTGGATGTGATTCTTAGTTATGTTATTTATGGTAGTGTCATAATTTTTCTAAGTAAGGAAAGATTCCCATCACCCAAGTCTCAACTGGACAGAAGCTTGGAATCATATGATTTGAATCATGTGATGTACGGAAATCTTGGTACTTAGGAAATTAAGACTAATTCCTTGATCACACAAGTATGTGAGTCAAGTGAAGGACTAAAGGACTAGAACACAATGTTGTGTATAGGTCAAGTCCACCACAAATAACAATAAGACTATTCGTCATGATTTACTAAAAGTATAATAAATATGGTTACGCTTACAAGATTAAGTATAATTCTAAATTATTGAAAAGTTTCAATAATAGCAAAACGGATAAGAAGAATCAAGTAGGCAGAAAGATAAAATTTTATCCAATCTGAAAAGAAGGGAGAGTACATTTGTATCATGTTTTATGATAGTCTTATTGATTGTGAAACCATATAACAACTGATCCTCTAGGTAAACCTTAGTGCACTGGTATGGCTAAAAAGAAGAATCAGAAATTGTTGAAATGGTTAAATTAATAGGTGGATCATACTTCTTTCCAAAATCAAGTCTTAGAGTCATACTCCAAGAATGTGACTTGAGTGACACATCTTAAGAAGTTCTAACACACTCATCAAGTGCGAAGCAGAAAATTGTTTTTCTTACTCTTGCACGTTTGAAATTGGTAAATTGTGACGTTGATGAATCAATGAATCGAGTAAGATATTAATCAGAGTTAATATTGAAGAAAGTATGAGAGATTGAACATAGGAAGTAAATAAGATTTCGTTTCATCTCTATTACGCTTTGTGTTTACAGAGAACAATAGACAATACTGTAAAGACTTTGTCTATCTCTAGTAAATGATCCTATTTATAGGATACATAAAGCCGACAAAAAATATACTAAGGCATAAACACTTAAGCTTCATATAAAAGTGCCCTAGTAAAATAGATTACAAAATATACGAAGAGTACAAAACATACTTCGACTAATTACAACAAAAACAATCCTTACAGTCTCCCCCTTTGTAAAGATAGTCGAAGACTTCGATTAGTAAGCAGTTGGATGGAATACAGCATCACTCTTCGTATCTCGGTATACCAGGAAGTTATCTTCTTAAGCTCCTTCTTATCTCCTTCATTATTCTTCTTACAATGATTCATACGAACAATTAAGTTCGTATATTAAGAAGTTGAGTATCTTTCCACCTCACCAGCCTGGAACAAGAATCGTTTCGATTTCCCATACTTGTCTTTTCATGCGAAGACTAACCCAAAGGGCTTCAAGAAAATTTCACCATCAGCATACTTTTTCAGATCTACTTGAGTCTTCAAAGGAGCCATTGGAGCAGTTATTTCTAATCTTTTTGTTATAGCTAACTCCACATCAGTCATAAACAAGCATTCATAATAATTTTCGATGAAGATCTTGATATGAGTAACTCCAAGCTTGAACTCATCCGGATCAGTATTTTGAAGATAAGAAAAAGTTCTTTCCTTCAACAACAATGCAACTTGTATAAGGTCATACAAGTTCATTAATGGAAAATCTGCAATAGTAAAATTACAAACATTTCCATTTGCCTTGGCCACCACATACTTAATATTTTGGATTGTGTTTTCAAAATCAACATCCTTCTTTATACTGTTCACTTTCTTTATCTTTATAAGTGACCACACATCTTCAGCAGATTTTGCAAGAAATGCATGAAATCTGATCTTCATATGTGTTCCTTCATCCTTCACTTTGAATTTACTTTCAGGTTTGAACTTGGGCATGATTAACATCATTTCATTGATCGGAAAATCAAATTGGCTTGCATCAATATTCGTAACTATGTAGCTTTGTCTTGGCTTCTTTTCGAATGAATAAATATGATTGAATGCAACCTTGGCTTCGATTGTATCGTAGTTATAATGATTTGATGGATCACCTTTATTCATGCCTGGAGGATGACTTGCTCTTTGTGTCTTTATGCTCTGTATCAATCTCATCCTCTCCAGTTCAGCCTCAACCTCATCTTTCTTTTCTTCCTTTGACTTCTCCACCAAAATAGTATTTCCTTTGGCTTTCGGATCTGAATATTATATTACTTCTTTCGTTTTTGAACCACTTCCACCAACATCAGCAGATTTACCAATCACAATACCTTTCAAAATTGGTCTTGTAATTGGCACAGTTGTCACCACCGTCGAAGTAATCTGACTAGCATTTGAAATGATTGGCTTCGTAGTTGGGATCTTTGAAGAAAATACCTTTCCCACCACCTTTGCATCATCACCACCAGCCTTCGTAACTTAACCCTTCCTTTCTCCCCCTTGCAACCCTGTATAAACAGGCGTGACATCTGTTGTTGGAAGAAGGCTGAATATGCGAGAAAGAGGAGCCAATTTTTGAGAAGTATATCTTCGAATTGAGAAAATTTTTGCAACAGAAAATATGAAGATAGTTAAGAAGATGAGACTGGATTTGTAGATAATTCTTTGAGCTCCTTTAACAAAGTGATCACCTCTATAAAATTGTTGCTGTCAGTTGTAGAGAGTTGAGATAGTTGAATACCCAAACTTTCATACAACTTGACAAATTCCGTCACAGCATCACAGATGATGTCAACCTTCTGATTTAAAGAAGCATAATCCGTTCGAACACATGAAATCTCTTTGTCCATATCTTGACGAAGCTCTTGAATTTTGAAGTTGACATCCTCACGAACCTTCTTGATGTCTTGAATAAACAATACATGATGTTCCTTGGTCACCATTAGCAATTCCTTCAAATCTCCTTCAAATGTGGACTTTTGAGAATTCACCCTCAGCTCATAGTTTTGATCACACAGATAAACCTTCTCCAAAATATGAGACTCAGAGTTTTTGAGCATACCAGAAACTTTCAAAGTGATCCTTCCTTCTAGCAATTTTAATAAACCATCAACCTTTAAACTTGACATAGAATTACCTCCCCCAATATCTGCTTGTGTTTGAATAATAGAATTCAGTGTTGTATTCAAGATTTTAAACTGCTTCATTGTCATAAGCATATGATCTGGGAAATCAGCTTCATCTTCATCAAATACCAAATTCTCAAAAGTACCTCCAAAACCTTCAAATTCATTCTCAGTCTCCATAGAGATAGATTATTAGATTGGGGAAGTGGTTGTGGGTGGATCAGTTGATTGAGAAGAGAAAAGAGAAGTAAATGGATGTTTGATGACGTTTTCGAATGTAGGGGAATCTGTGGTGGAAGTAATGGGTATGACAGGTGTAATTTGTGGAGGAAAAAAAACAAAAGTTTCTGAGGTAACATTCGAAGGTTTACCTTGTTCATCTTTGTTCGAATCATCCTGACCCATGATGACATTTACATGCATATTAGATACATGTGCAAGAATGTTAGAAGTTCGTGCTTCCTTAGTAAATGACTTGGCAACCGAATCTTCGGGTGGTATAACAGTTATCTGTGGAGTAGAAGTATCTTTTTGGAGATTTGCTTCAGGAGTTTCTGGAATCCTTTCATCTTCATCATCTATAGATTCAGTAGAGATTATCATCGTTCTTGTCTTCTTCTTCTTCTTCTTTGACATATGTTTAGCCATAACTTCAGCCCTTTGTTTCCTTCATGATGGAGAAACAAGCACTGGAAGTTCACGAAATAGGATTCCTTGATAACTAACCTATGGCTTTCGTACTACATTAGTGATTGGATACCTGATCTTGTGCTTTGACTTCATTTTGATTCTTCGAAAAACACCGATCTTCGAAGGAATAATATATTTTTCTTGAGTTTCTAGACCAACAGGCTTAGTTAAGGTTGTGTCAGCAACTGAAACTTCGTGTGTCACTGGCTCTTCATCAGTGATTGGTTGGTTCTTTGGAATCTTCGTAGACTTAGACTCCTTGACTGTTTTTTCAGAAGAACCAGTTTCAGTCTTCTTCGTATGTTTTGACCTGTCTCCTCCCTTGCCAATAGAATCCCAGTCTCAATAGTAGTATCAACTGTTTGCAAATAACTCACTAAGACTGTATTCGTTGGATCATCACGTTTGAGCATCGCATCAGGAATACGAGCTACAAAAGGAAACTCCTCAGCATCATCAGTTGCATCCTTCGGACAACTGTATATGTGAAAAACTACATTTTCCTCATCATTTGGTACCTGAATCCCCTCCTTCTCGTAAAAGTACTACAGAATCAAGCTCCAATTTCTTTCACATGAAATGCCATGAAGAGAATTTGTGTTTTCGATACTCATCAGAAATTATTTCCAATGTTGAGTAGAATAATCCACTTGTAGATCATAATAAATCCCTGCAACCATGGCATATACCTACATGCGACCCTTGTCAAGACCTACCGTTCTTCTAGTCAAACACCTCAAGAAAATACAAAATAAGAAATTCTAAACACTTGGAAGACCAGACTTCTTGAAGTCACTGATCTTTGATAATTGAGGTTGATGGCCCATTTCATTAACCATTTGAACAATTTGAGGAAAGGAAAAATTGAAATACGGTGGGGAATTAGGGATTTCCAAAATCTAACAGAAAAGCTTATTGGACAATTTGAACTTTTTATCATTCACGAGATTGAAAGTAACTGCATCAAAAACTTTTGCATATGTGGCAGTTGATCCGGCTTGAGAAAGCCATGAAAGTGGAACAGAAAAAGAACTGAACATTACTTTTGACAGAACCGAACTCTTCAAAGCAATCATTAGCATCTTGAGTTGTTTAGGGTATTTAGAAACATTAGCCTCCACTTGATAATTCGTACCCTAGATCTTCATAATCGAGAAAGAAGTAACATCATCCGTGGTGTGAGAAAGATTAGCATCAGGATGAGCAAAAGTCGCCATTGTTAGGGTTTGAAAGCTTGGTGTAGATCAGAGAGTATTTGGGAATTATTGTGTTTGAAACCGTAAACTGATAATTGACCCTTCAATCCCCTTTTATATGTAACCCTGGATTTTGAAATAAAAGTGGGATGTGCATTTAATGAAATCTGACGTCGCACCTAGAAAACCGCGTCATGATGATGATAAAGTTACCATGCGTGATAAAGTAACTGTCACGTCTCCTTAAAACCCGAATAGAATACAAAACGTCCCCTCAAACAGGCTGGTTGGTTTGCCCCAATGGAATAGTAACCGTCGGAACCCTTCATATGGAAGTAAGGCTCTTTTACATTTGGGTTTTAAAGTAAAGCCATTTGCCAAATGTTTGAAATCTTCAGTCTGAGTTGGTATTACTCAGAACCTCAAGGATTTCGTGTGTGCAGTCTTCCAAAGAATTTAGATGAGAAGCAATAAAAAGAAAATTTTGGAATTCAGTGATGTCAAAAATTCAATTTTACACGAAGGCAATTAAAACCTCGGGCAAAGGTTGCTTCGTTAATCATCAAGAGAGATGATCAAAAACTTGTGTATGTTCTTGTGAATTACAATCAAATACTTGTAAAGAAGTATGGAAGGGCTTCTTTTAAAAGGCTTACTAGGTGGCTTAATGAATTTCGTTACATATCAACCTAAACATAAGGTGAGTAATTGTAACAGAAATTACTTTTTTGACCAATGTAGTCAGTGACAAGTTTGCTTTCGAAAACTTTTAAATGAATTTGATTAAAACTCACACGAAAATCATATTCAAGAAAAAAATTGTGTACTGGATCGTGTTGGGTAACAAACATCGTGGGTTTCGAATGTTTGATCAAGACCACTCATAAGAAATGAATATGATTTGGAGTTTCGAATGTAAGTACAGAAACAAATGTTTCGTTAAAACCTGGAACATAGTTCCCCATCAATTCCTTACATGTTTAGAGATTTAGGTTTCACTTTCATCACGGTCTTATTATGTCAGATCATAAACACAGAGTTTTGATATGTCTAGGTTTTGATTGGTTTGATCAGATACCTCTAGGACATATGTCTTCGTGTGTAATTGTGTAAGAATTTTGAGATGAAAAAGATTGATAGAAGACACAAAATTTACCTCTGATATATTTTGACCAAACAGTATACACTTAACTCAAGTGAGAAGAGTCAGGTAGCTCAAAAGACTAATGTGAATACAAGCCTGATTGGGAAGAAATCTTAGATTGAAAATTTTCATTAAGGTTTTCGAACACACACATTGAGTCAACAGAGGCTTTGGTCTACATGTTGCAGCATGCTTCTAGGGTCATCTTAACTAGTTCAAAGTATTCGAAAAAAATACCTGACCCTATAACTTCAAGCATTACACTAGATGAATCAACATGTAAATGTACAACAAAATACAAAAAAGAAAAGAGAAGCAAAATATTTTTGTTGTTTTGGATTTTTGGAAAAAAAAAAACTCTTTTTGGAATTTTTGATTTTTTGAAAATAAAATAAGAAATTGAAATGTGCTTGTTGCAAACATACGAAATTTAATCAATCCCTGAAAAATGACAAAGTTACGAATTTGAAGGAGTTTAAGAGTTGACTATGAACAGTAACCTCTGAATACTAAATGACTTTCTTTTTTCTTAGATTTAGTGACTCTGAACCGTTCCTGGTTAACTATCATTCTCCTTTTTCGCATGGAACGGAGTTTCCATCGATCATTCCAAGTCCTTCAAAAATTCTTACAAATGACTTTTCATAATGCACTTCAATATTTCCATGTTCCACATGATCCTTGATGAAATGATAACGAAGAGCTATATGTTTAGTCTTCAAATGTTGCACAGGATTATGAGAAATTCTTATGGCACTTTGAGAATCACAATATAATGGAGTCTTTTTCATATTAATTGCATAATCATGCCATTGACTTTGGATCCAAATTATTTGTGATTTAAAGGCAGCAGCAGCCACAAATTCTGCTTCAGCGGTTGAAATTGATACACATGTTTGCTTTTTTGATTGTCAGCTCACCAATTTACCATTAAGCAATTGACAACCACCTTGTGCTTTTTCTATCAAGATTACAACCACCCAATTCTACATCCGAATATGCTTGAACAAAGAAGCCATTTTTCAAAGGATACCACAATGCTAACGAAAATGTTCCCTTAAGATAACGAAATATATTCTTCACAGTAGTGAGATGTGGTTCTTGTGGATTTGACTAATACCTAGCACAATTACACACAGAAAACATGATATCAGGTCGACTAGGAGTATGGTAAGGTAAAGAACCAATCATGCTTCGGTAAAGAATTAGGTCAACTGCAGGTTTATCTAACGAAGGTGTCAGCTTTATGCCAGTTGCCATAGCAACTCGTAATTTCGTGCTATTCGTCAATCCAAACTTCTCTAGTAGATTCTTCGTATATTTTTCTTGATTGATAAAAATACCTTCTCTATTTTGACAAATATTCAACCTAAGAAATTATTGATTTTTTCCATCATGCTCATTTCAAAGTTGCTTTTCATCAAATTTTTGAATTCACTAGACAAAGCAGGGTCAGTTGAGCCACAAATTATATCAACATAAATTTGAACAAGCATTAGATGATTCCCAAATTTCTTTCGAAATAATGTAGGATCAACTGATCCTTGTTAAAATATAGATTAAGTTAAAAACGAAGTAAGTGTTGCATACCATGCTCGTGGTGCTTGTTTTAAACCATAAACTACCTTATCTAAGATATAAACATGATCAGGATGTTCTTCGTTAATAAAACCTGGGTGTTGTTCTACATAAATTGTTTCATCAAGCTCTCTGTTTAAAAATGCACACTTCACATCCATTTGATAAACATCAAAGTCTTTGTGAGATGCATAAGCCATAAATATACGAACAGCCTCGAGTCTTGCAACAGGGAAAAAAGTTTCTTCGTAATATATTCCTTCTTGTTGTGAATAACCTTTAACAACAAGCCTGGCTTTGTTTCGTACAATGTTTCCATCTTTGTCGGTTTTATTTTTGAAAAGCCATTTTAACCCAACAATCGAAACATCATTTGGCTTAGGAATTAATCTCCAAAGCTTGTTTTGTTCAAATTCAGATAATTCAGATTCCAATGAAACAACCCAATCTGAGTGTTCCATTGCAATCTTAACTGTCTTTGGTTCGATCTTAGAGATAAAAACATTGAACATGCAAAAATCTTGATGGTTATTTAATACCTCATTCTTTGCACGAATTTGAGCTCTTGTTAAGACTCCCTCTTGTGGATTCCCAATTATTTGATCCTTCGGATGATCTTTTCTCCATTTCTCCATTGGTGGATAAGTTGGATCAAATTCCAAAGGTGCATCTTCGTATAAATCATCATTTTATGAACCTGTAATTAACCATTAATCATTAAAATCATGAAAATTTTCATTTTGTTCAAAATCTCCCCCTCAACATCAGCATCCAATCTCTCATTCTCCCCCTCGAAAGATTGCTCCCCCTCATCAAGAGTGTTCTAATCCAAGTGCACCCCCTCCACTAGATTAGTATGCATACTTTCGTTTATTTCTTGAGGATTTGATGTTAAACTATCATTGAGCTTCGTTAATTCAGAGATATAATTGATTATAATTGGCATTAACTTCAGCATCAACGACATGATCTGAAAATTCCAAAAATCAAATCATAATCAATATACAATGGTTGTGACGGTTCAGATTCTTTTGCGTTCA